AAATTAGTACTGTCATTATGAAAAACAGGATGCAAGTGCCTCAAAAAAACCCCTAGAAATAGAAACCTAGACCGAGGCATGGTGGTGCATACCTATAATCCCAGCTACTCAGGGGGCTGAGGCAGAAAGATGGAAAGTTCAAGGCCAGTCTGGGAAACTTAGTAAGATTTTCTCAAAATTTAAAAACTATAGTCAGGCATGGTGGCATACTCCTGTAATACCAGCACTTGGGGGGCTGAGGCAGGAGGATTGCTGCTAGTTTGAGGCCAGTTCAGGCTACATAGTGAGTTCAAGGCCAGCTTGAACTACATAGTGAGACCCTGCCTCAAAAAAATTAAAAATTATAAAAGGGTTGGGGGTATAAATCAAGTGGTTTTATGCTTGCCTAGCATTGCTGAGGCCATGGGTTCAATCCACCAGTACCATAAAAAAAAACAAAAAACTAGAAGTAGTACTGCCAGGTGATCCAGCAATTTTACTACTGATTACATGTCCAGAGGAAAGGAATTCATACATCAAAGATGTATCTACATGCGCACATTTAGTCCAACACTAGTCATACACCCAAAAGAGTGGAATCAACCCAAGTATCTATCAATAGATGAATGGATAAAGAAAATGTGGTACACATACATGCACAATAGAATGGAATTAGCTTCTGGCCAAAAAAAAAGAATACAGTCCCATCATTTGCAGCAACATGGATGAAGCTAGAAGACATTAAGTTAATTGAAATAAGTCAGGCACAGAAAGACACATACCATATGTTTATACTTGCACGTAGAAGCTAAAAGTTGCCAAGCAGGGTGGTGCCTGCCTGTAATCCCAGATCTCTGGGAGGCTGAGGCAGGAGGATCACAAGTTCAAACTCAATTTGGGCAAATTAGGAACTTAGTGAGATCCTGCCTCAGTATTTAAAAAGGGTACTAGAAGGGTAGCTACCAAAGACTGGGAAATGTGGAAGGGAATGGATGGGAAGAGAGTTGTTAACAGGTGAAGCTGAATAGGAGAAATAACTTCCAATGCTCTGTAACACAATGGGATAACTATGGCTGGCAACATTTAACTGACGACTTCAAAATAAAGCTGGTAGAGAAGATTTTTTGATGTTCTTCATGCAAAGAAATGATAAATGCTTGAGATGATGGATACATCAATTAACCTAATATGATCATTACAAACATAGTACACATATTGAAATATCCCCCTGCACCCCAAAAATAAGTATAATTATTATATGTCAATTAAAAAGTTAGAAAAAAAGAAAACATCTAAGAATGAAAAAGAAAACAAGCTGCTGGGCTGGGGATTTAGCTCAGTGGTTCCGCTGCCTGCCTCCCAAGCGCAAGGACCCGAGTTCAATCCCCAGTAGCAAAAAACAAAAAGAAAGAAAACAAGCTGCTGACCTACATGCTGTTCCTTAGGGGCCTTCCCTTACCAGATCTAAGGAGAACATTCTGCGAGTGGTGGGAATATTCTCTCTGCACACCCAGTATGGCCACCGTGGCCACACGCGTCCAGTGTGACTGACAAGTCCACTGCTAATCTTAGTTGGTTTTAATTCATTTAAATGTGGAGAGCCACATGTGGCGAGTACCAGCTGGAGAACTGTGTCCGGGGGTGCGCATCTGTTCACTAATGTGTTCACGCTCCTGGGAAGTAGTCCCAGAAAACGCCAAGCCCTCAGCCCCAGCCAGGCCTTGGGTTATGGGGACTCTTTTCACTGCCTCACTTAATTTTCATGACAACCATGGGAGGCCACTAGCATTATTATCCCAGTGCTCAGCTGACAAGACCACAGCTTGAGGAAGCTCAGGTTGCTGAAAGGAGATGTCGTCCCTGGCAGCCAGGAGAAAAGGGCCAGGCTTTCTCAGCCCACCCTGGGGCTGTGTGTCACAGGGCCTCTTCCAGCATCTTACTGTGTCCCCTAAGAAGGCCGTCCCATGGCTGTCCAGTGCCTGTGCTCTCCAGAGGGGCAGTGTCCTTTCCTCTGCCTCAGGGTAGACAGAACATGGCTGTTCTTTCTCTGGCCAGCAAAGCTTGACAATGGCCCCCAGACAAGGTGGGGCTCAGCTGGGGAAACCTGTTTACTCTCTCACACCACTGAGCCTCACATAAAAGGAAATGTTAGTGAAGAAGGATTTTGATTAAACACAAAGGGGATTGTTGTGGTTCAGATCTAAAATGTCCCCCTCCCAAAGTGTGTTTGGGGGTGCTACACTCACCAGTGAGTTCATCAGTTGATGAGTGGCTCAATGTGATGTTTGGCAGTAGGGCCCGGGTGGAGGCGAGTCCTTGGGGGCCTGACCTGTACAGTCTCTTCCCTTCCCTCTTTCTCTGTTTTCTGGCTGCCATAGTTGAGCAGCTGTCCTCTGCCACGCCTTCTGCCATGCTACTTCCACTTTGGAGCCAACCACGGACTGAATCCTCAGAAAAACGTGAGCCAAAAATGAACTTTTCTTTCTCCAATTTGTGGATATCGGGTGTTGTGTCCCAGCAGTGGAAAAGTGACTAACACCATGACTTTCCAGAGCACTGGAATGGCTTCAAGGGTAGACCATAGAATCTCCACCTTGGAAGAATCTTAAAAGCAGCACAGATTTCTGTCCAAGGTCATCACGGCTGGTTCTGTCCCGAGGCAAGGGAAGAACCAGGCGATCCCCAGTGATCCCTGGGAGCTTGTAACTTTTTCTATGAAAAACGCTAATCTTCACTGAAATGACTTGTAAATCACTTAAGGAAAGGAAATACACTGTGAGCGAGATTTGAAGAAATGAGAACCTGAGAATAGGGAGGCGCCTTTTCTCGTTGGATAGAGTCTCCTGGGGCCCTCTCTCCTCCACTAAGCCCTCACGTCCCACCCTCTCCTCAGGAGAAGTCTGTGCCTCCCTCCAACCAGTGTTGTGGTCTTTCAGGGCTAGGAGATGTCACTAGGAAACCGTCTGCTTGACTCACGCTCTCCTCCGTGGCTCACACCAGCTCGTAAGGCTGCAAGCATTTTCATCCTTTCCGTTCCTTCTCTCTCTCTCTCTCTCTCTCTCTCTCTCTCTCTCTCTCTCTCTCTCGGGGGTGGGTAATTTTAAACACTGCTACTTTCATTTCTCTAGGATCAGGTTACCATTACTTTTTCTTCAACCTTTTTTTCTTTTTTTTTTCTCCAGTGTTGGGAATGGAACCCAGTCCCGCGAATGCTCTACCGCTGAGCTACAACCCCATCCCAGGTCTCTTCAGTTTTGTGGACTGGGTGTAAAGCACGGAAATACACGCACCCAGCTGTAGCAGGATCAAACGGATTTGTTCATGAGGCATACAGGTGTGCAAAGTGTAACTTCCTTATTCTTCTATAAATACGTCTGTAAATAATCTGGTCTTGCTTCAAGAACTTCACACTATTTGTAGCTGGAGTAACAGGACTCGGGAGAAGAAAACAAAATTTAGCCTAGTCCAGTAAATACAGTCTCCTTCTAAAATCTAAATAATCTCTTTAAACAAGGACGCCGTCTCTTCCGGGTCTCTCAGGCCTGGGCTCTGGCACATCCCCCTCCTCTACCCCCTTCACGGCAGTGTCTGGACCTATGTGAATAGGGGGCTGTTCTATAATCTTGGGCCACTGGTGGGGAAACACATGGCTGGTGTTTCTTGAGTAGAACCAGATGCACATAAGGTATGATAAAAAATAACGAGGTGAATGCTTAAATAAAAAATGATTATTACAGTAAAAGACATATTGTCTTTAACCCCACCCTCGCCCACCACTCTTCCAAATGCACTCATCCCATTGTCCTTGCCACTTTCTGAAGCAGCTCTGGAAGTCCTATTTCCTGAGTTTCTTTACTTGCACTGCTGTGGCTGCCTCAATGTCCTGATTGATTCAAAACCTTTACCTTTTTTTTTGCAGTACCAGGAATCGAACTCAGGACTTTGCACTTGCAAGGCAGGCCCCAGTGCCACTGAGCTAAATCCCCAGCTCCCAAAACCTTTACATTTAGCGATCATTTTGACTGGAGAAGTGCCTAAAGTCACACTGGCAGATCCAGTGAATAACCATCATGTTTTTATGAGCCTGTCTTTCTGTTGGAAGTATTCAGCAGCAGCTTTCACCATACTTTTTATCATGCCACATGAAGACACTCAGGAAAGAGGACTTCCAGAGCTGCTTCAGAAAGCAGCAAGAAAGACAGGATGCATGTTCTAAGCGAGGGGCAGCACTTTGAGGGAGCTTCTTGGCAATATGTCTTTAACAGTGATTCTTTTTATTTACATACATCATATTTTCTTTTATCAGCCCTTCTATCTCAAGACTTGCTAAAGAAAAATGAAACTCGTCCCCATGTCCTCTTCCTGCACAGGGGTCAGATCCCTGTCTGATTCAGTCCGCCAAGCTGGATTTACTGGAGCAGTGCTGGAACCATTTCAAGGATTCTTTATTCTCTTGACCAAGCCTGGCCGCCTACTCTGCAAGCTTGCTGCAGAGAAAATGACCCCATGGAAGGGAAGCCAGAGACAAATGCAGGCAAAGGCACAAGCAGGTTTCATCTTGAAGAATCACCTCTGGCTGATGCTCAGGGGAAGAGCAGATGAGGAAAGCCCAGTTTGGAGGAGAGAGCTGATGCCAGGGCCAGTGGGGAGGGTGGCAGTGAGTGAGAAGGTACTGCATTAATAGAGAGGGTGACTCAGGGACAATAATTAAACAGTCCCCAAAGGCACATCTGAATCACCTCAGGATGTCAGGCACAGTGCACACCTATAATCCCAGCACTCTGGGACACTGAGGCAGGAGGTTTGCAAGTACAGTTTGAGTCTGGGCAACTTGGTGACTTAGCAGGACCTTGTTTCACTATAAAACAACAAAACAAAACAAAACAAAAAAACTTGTCAAAGGCCCGAGGATGTAGCTCAGTGCAAAGACCATCAGTTCAATTTCAATTACTGAAAAAAGGGCTGGGGATATAGCTCAGTGGCACTGGGCCTGCCTTGCAAGTCCTGTGTTTGATCCCTGGTACCTCAAAAAAAAAAGAAGTTCAACTCAGGAGCCAGATGTGGTGGTACACATCTGCAGCGCAATCATCTGGACAGCTGAGGTGCAAGGGTCACTTGGGCCAGGAGTTCAAAGTCCACCCAGGCCAACATAGTCAAGACCCCCACCTCAAAAAAAAGAATCCCTCAGGAATAGCATATGGGGCTATGGGCACGGTCATTCGGTGCGGTGGGAACAAAAATGGGGCACCCACAGGGGAAAACAACCTCAGGGTTTCTTTCAGAAGTTGCACAACGGACTCAGGCTGTATGGCACTTGCCTGGCATGTGGAGGCTCTGGATTCACCACCCAGCAGCACCAAATAAAGCAAAACAGAGAACATATACGTACCATAGGACTCAGTCTCTCCATCCCAGCTGTTTACCCATGAGAAATGAAAGCATGCGTCCTGAACTCATACATGTGTCCAGACCAGCTTCATTTGTAATAGTCAAAAACTAGAGGCCAGGCACGGTGGAGCACGCCTGCAATCCCAGCACTCGGGGCTGAAGCAGGAGGATTGCCATGAGTTCAAGGCCAGCCTGGGCTACACTGTGAGTTCAAAGCCAACCTGAACCACGAAGCAAGACCCTGTCAAAAACAACAACAACAACAATAAAAATCCAGACTATAGACAACTGAAATATCCCTCAGTGAATGATGAATAAGAAACTGTGGTACAAGGGCTAGGGATGTAGCTCAGCAGTGCTGCACCACCTGGCAAGCACAAGGTTCTGAGTTCAATTTCTGGAACCAAAAAAAAAGGAACAAACTGGTACAGCCACACAATGAAATACTACTCAGCAACAAAAAGGAACAAATTTTTGATACAGAACAATGTGGATGCGTCTTAAAAATCACTCTACTGGGTCGGGGGTGGGGGGTAGAGGTCAGTTCTAGAACATTTGCCCAGTATGCATGAGACCCTGGGCTCTATTCCCAGCACCATTTAAAAAAGAAAAGAAAAGAATCACTATACAGAATGAGAGAGGTCATGTAAAGAAGAATATGCCGTATGACTTCTTTACTGCAAACTACTTGAGAAGTACATGAGTGAGAAAATTGCCTGCAGATGAGAAGTAGAAAAACAGATGAGTTACAGAGGGACCCAAAAGACTTTGAGGAATGATTAAAAAAAAAATTTTATTTTAAGTGCAGTGTGAATGTAGCGATGGCTTCATGGAGATACATGTATAGATTGTGTTAAAACTGATCAAATTTTACACTTTCATACACATAGTTTACACTTTAAATATATGTACGTTACATTTTAAATGTATGCAGTTTAACATAGTACAATTACACCTCCACAAAATTGAAAAATAAAAAAATCAACTCAAGGAACTGGAATAAAACATTCTGGGAGATCCTTGAATTTCTGTGTCTTTTAACCCAACTTCTAATTCTAGACAGAAAAGAAAAAGATACCAAAATAAAGCATCGCTGTAGAAAGGCGCTGAAAACACATTAAACGTCAAGATGGTGCCATAATAAATTAAATGCATAATTTCAGATCTGTCTTGTTAAATATTTTCAAAAATACTTAAAATTAGCAAGCACTGAGAAAACTAGTGTTCAGCAAATAATTGTAATGAATATATCCTCTTGTAGTCTAATGAGGGACTTTTTAAATTTTGAGTTTATTTTTGTAACAAGAGCTTTTATTTCCAAGTCTTCTAAAAAGGAGGTTTCTGTTATATAAATATATTCAAAGCACAATTTGAAGAGAACAAATGAGTTTTTAAACAATTATTTAATTAGGTTCCTTCAGTGCACAGACTTGGAAGTTGGCTGCTTCTAAGGTTGATTCCTCATTCTGTTTTTCTGTTTTATTTTAGCCCTTAAACAAGCTATAGTATTTCTCAAAGCCTCAGTCTCCCTGGCTCCCAGATATCCCAATGTGTAGCATTTTCTACAGAGTCTAAACATGCCTTTCTTTCCTAGACCATAGCAGCGGATAATCATTGGATGTTTTGGTCAATTATCCTTAAAACGATTAGCTCCTGAAAGGGTATTTGAAGGAAAAATGCTCTACTGCTCATTCTTTCCATTCAGGTCTAAATGTTGTTTATTCAATAAACTGCATACTTCGGCATGCATTATCAAACATTCTTAAAATCCCACTTTCTGATGCTCACCTGCCAGGCAGCTGAGCTGCAGCTTTATGAAATATGAAGCCAGTCCTCTTTTATAGCCGGGCATTCATCTTCAAACTTCTTGGCATATGAGTCCCTCCAAGTTATTTTATTATTTCCAAGAAACTGTAAGCGAGCCTTTTTATATCCCTTCTGTTGTCATAAGAATGATTGTACATAAAGCATGTCAACCAAACTCGAGAACGGCATCCTTCCCCGAGTCCACTGTTTCCTGAGACGGCTGCTCTCTGGGCCTGCTCTGTGGACACGATTTGATAGGATTATTGAGCGTGGTTTTAGTTTTTGGTGTTTGGGGGTTGTTCTTGGGTTTTGTTTTGCTCTATTTTGCTGTACTGGGAATTGAATCCTGGACCTTTGCACTGAACTACATCCCCAGTCCTTTATTTTTATTTTTATTTTTAGACAGGCTCTTGCTAAAATACCCAGGTTAGGCTTGAACTTGTGACCCTCCAGCCTCAGCCTAGCCGCACCCTCGGCCTCCCAGAGTGCTAGGATTATGGGCCTGCACCACCACGCCTGGCTGAGCGTGGCCTAAAATCAAGGAAACCTGGACAGATTGTCCTCCCAGGCTCAGTTTGGCCAGAGGTCTTGGGTGTCCAGGAAGCTCATGCCAGCGGACTGGAGCTCGATGGGGCCCATCCAGACTCAGCAGCTGCTCCTGGGCACAGCCAGAGTGCTAAGCTTAAAGTAAGTACAGCCGCTCAGGCAGCTGAAGGGTCTCAGCCACCCTTGCCTATGTCCCCACCTGCTATGGCTAAGCTATCAACCGTCCCATGTGCCAGTGATTTAGGCCCCACTTCCCGATGTTAATGGGAGGTGCTGTGGACCTTTAAGAGGTTGGCTCGGTGGGAAGGTGACCTCACTGGGGTTGTGGGTCTACATCTCTTCCCCTTCCGGTTTCTTTTCCTGGTCCTTGGCTCTTGCGATGAGTGGTTTGGGGCCACCATGTCCCCAGCACCGTCCCAATGTGGTGACACATGCCTAATCGGAGGCTCAAGCAGTGGCGCCACTTCATCTCGGAGCAGAATCTGCAAAGCCAGGAACCCAAAGAAACCTTGTCTCTTTAGGAGTTAATTCCCTTGGGCACTTGCTTACAGGGGTGGTAAACTGATCTCACTCCCCGCCCAGCTTTCCGTCCAGTCCCGGAGCCCGGGTCCCTGGCCAACAGCAGCGGGCCTTGCCCCTTCTGTCTCTCAGGGCCTTGTGCCGATGGAGGCAGACCTGGTTCCAGCTTGCTTCCCTAAGCCCCAGGGTCCTAGTCTTTAAAATCAGGACAGAAAAAAATGGCAGCAAGGGTGCTATGGAGAAAGAGTCACATCGGATGGCGGGTGGCGAGGTGAGCAGCTCCGGAAATCCCCTGTGATGATCGTTTCTCCTTTGCATCAGGGCCCCGCCCCCAAGGCCTGAGAGTCACAGATAAACGATGAAGGTGCGTGGTCTGTGACCCCACAGGAGAGGAAGAGTGCTCAGGCACCAAATCAGCCCGCGCCCGCTCAGCCTACGCACAAGGCACCTACGGGTTCCCGAAGGGAGGACGCCCAGCTTCCCAGAAGGGCTCAAAAATAACTCTGGTCTCATTAACTCTGGAAGCAAGTAAGGGCAGAGGAAAAAGGACTATGCCGGCCTGAGCCAAAGCCCAAGACAGAGGTGGACCCTAAGTACCTGGGGGGAGTGGGGGTCGAGCCAGGGAGGGGCCGAGGGATGGGCCCTTGGTGGGCGTGGCCTGAGTGGGTGTGGCCGAGTCAGCTGTGCGCAGGGCGGGAGACCCGGTCCACGCGTCTGGCAGTTTGGGGCAGCGCCTGGGCCCACAGTACAGGGTCTGAGATGGAGGGGCAGAGGAACAGGCTGGGATGGAGTGGGGCCTAGGAAGAGGAAACCAGGGCCTACAGGAAGAGATCTACGGGGTAGGGTGGGCATGGGGCCGCCCTGGACCCACAGAACAAAGCATTCTGGGCTGCAGGTGGGCCCGGAGCTGCTGTGGGAGGAACTTCCGGCTGCCTGGGACCTGGTGGGAGCATGGGGAGGAAGCCAGCTCCAGAGGATAGAGCTCTGTCCTCCCAGAGGTCGACCTGTGGTTGGCACGGCAGGCTTAAGGAAACCCTGGCCTCGTAAAATATGGAAACCCCAAGAGAAGAAGAGAAACCCCAGAGTGTTAGGGAGTTCCTGGCATCCAGAAGTCTTTCCAAAGAGAGGCCAGCACCCCTCCACAGAGAAGAAGCCCTCCCCAAAATGCCTTGTCCCTGGGCTGGGATTCAGTAGTCAGCGCCCCCTTACCTCCGCGTTGTCACCCCCACTGGCCTCTGGGCCCTCTCCCTGCTGAAGGGCACCCTGGGCCAGTGCACTGGAGGAGCTGGACAGCCTCCTCAGGGCTGGCAGTCAGGATCCCTGCCTCAGCGGGCTGGTCTTGGGTGGAGGGTTAAGAAATCTTCATTCGAAGGGGAGAGGGCTGTTTACAGCAAAGTCTCAGACTCTTTCCAAGCAGGTTGTGCCCATTTTTTGTTTTAAATGGGAAGTTATGAAATGCCTCAAGGGTCTGTGGTGAAAACATAGGTGTGTTTTTAGCCCATGGTCGCTGGAAGGGTGCATTGTCCTGCGGTCTGCAGGGATGTGGCATAGCTAACAGGACACTGGACATCTTTGCCTTTGGATTATTATTATTTTTTTTTTTAAGAAAGAAGAGAAGGAGCAGGAATGGGCACATGGGCATCTGCCATGTTATTTTCTATACCCAGACCTGAGCAAGCCAGATCCAAAGGGAAGTTTCCACTGGACTCCTGGTCCACCTCTGCTGTGAGAATGGGCCGGGCCGGGCCAGGGAGAGGCGGCTCCTTCCACCTGGATTCAGAATCAGAAGGCACAGAGCCTGGCAGCTGAGTGTGAGCCACAGGCATATGCACAAAGGAAAAGAGATGTTGCTGCTGCAGACTCCTAAGGCATTTCAGATGTTTGTTATTGCGTCAAGGGGCGTAGGAGTGGAAGAATGAGCGAGACTGATGTCTTCTCTGGGCTTCAAACAGAAGAGTTCCTTGAGAAGGGCAAGAAAGAAGGAGAAAGGCAAGGGCATAGGTGTTGGAATCAGGAACAAACAAAAACAGCTCCTCCTCTCTGCTCTTTGTGAGTCTGGGAATCACCTCGCTGCTCCGAGGACCCCACACACCATTTCTTGTCTCTTGAGAGGATCTGAGGAAGTCATATAGGCACAAAGCCAGCACCTACAAAGCTTGCAGAACAGGACAGCACCCCTACCCCCGACTGTTATGGTTTTGACATGACATGTCCCCGAGAAAGCTCATTATGTGAAGGGCTTGGTGGCTGATGGGTTTTGGGGAAGTGATTGAATCAGGAAGGTTCTAACTTCATCAGTGTTTAATCCACTGATGGGAAACAAGGGACAGGGCCTACCTGAAGGGAGTGGATCATAAAGGTGTGAGCTTGGTGGCTGTATCTGCTCCTGCCCTTTCCTCTCTGGCTTTTTCCCTCTCTCTGCTTCCCTGCCACCATGAGGTGAGAAGCTTTTCTCTTCCATGCCCTCCCACCACGATGTCCTGCCTTACCACAAGCCTAAAAGCAGTGGAGCCAGCTGACCATGGACTGACACTTCTGCAACCATGAATGAAAATAATCTCTCTTCCTTTAAGTTGACTTCCTCAGATACTTTGTCAGAGCAACACAAAGCTAATTAACACACCATCCAACCTGCTCCCTCTGCTATGAGCTGGGCATGAACCACTGCCAGGCTGAGCTGATACAGAGCTAGCGAGGCCCCTGCCTGACCCCCAGGAGCCCAGCACCTTGGCAAATGGGTTTCAGTGCCCAGTGCTGTAGCAGTGAGAGGTCCGTTATGCTTCAAGAACATACACCAAGGCAGACCCATGCTAACCCAGGAAGAACCTAAAAGAGTGCCCTGAATTTGTGGGAGAGAATGCATTTCCATTGTTTAAGCCATGCACTGGTGGTCCTTTGTTAGGGCAGCTCTGGGAGAGGAAGACATCAGTGCTAGAGGTCTGACGCTGCATGGGGATGTATAATAAAGTAAGAAAGGGGAGCGCTAGCAAGTGAGTTCGTCTTTGTCAAGGGTGGGAGGGAAGCCTTCAAGCCAGGAAGAACACAATTAGTTTGGGCTTTATAACACCTATTGGAGGGCCAGGGATCTAGCTCAGTGGCACTGCACCTGCCTCGAAAGTGCAAGGTCCTGAGTTTGATCCCCAGTACCAAAAAAAAAAAAAAATCTATTGGATTAACTGGGCTTGGTGGTCACACCTATAACCCCAGCACTCTGGGAGGCTGAAGTAGGAGGATTGCAAGTTCAAGCCTGTCCTGGGCAATTTAGTGACTCAGAGAGACCATGTCTCAAAATAAAAAATAAAAGGGTCTGGAGATGTAACTCAGTGTAAAGGTCCTGGGTTCAGTCCAGAGTACTGAGAGAGGAAGGAAGGAAGGAAGGAAGGAAGGAAGGAAGGAAGGAGAGGACAGGAGAGGAGAGAGGGAAATAAAAGAAAAAAACCAAACCCTCTGGGCTCCAGAGCAGAGGAGGCTGGCAGGCCACCTGGATACAAGACAGAGGTTCGAAGGGGAGGGATGGAGAGAAGAGAGTAGCTTCCAAGTAAACAGGAAGTTGCAGCCACAGGACCCCATTGCGGTCAGCAGGGGGCAAGACAACCACCCGTGCTTCTGTGGCCATCTGTGCTCAAGGCCCACTCTCCCTGTGATACATCAGGGAGAGCCTGGGACAAATAGCTCTGGCCAGCCTGGCCCGCCCCACATGAGCGCTTCCTGGGGATGGGCTCCTGCCTGGGTCTTGCCCGCTCCAGGTACCCAGAGACCTTGTCTTCATCTGGGTGCTGTGTACTGAGTGCTGGCTCTGGCCCAGATGTCGATTTTCTGGGTACAGCAAAATGGTTCCATCTCTCTTGGGTCCCTGACATGAACCACCACGTTCCAAGAAACTGATAAATAAACGCCACAATGCCAGTTTGATGGCTTATCATGCGAGAGAGGGCCATCGGGTGCGCGAGTGACAGGCCAGGAACCTCTCTCCCACGGGCTCCCAGGAGAGCCCGATGGCTATTGGGTAGCAGCTGCCGCCGCCGCCCCTTCTCCTCCCTTCCCTTCGCCTTCCCCTTCTCTTCCCCTTCCCAGGACCTTAATGCTCAGCTACATCCCCAGCCCTTTTTATTTTTTATTTTGAGACAGAGTCTTGTTAAATTGCCCACAGATGGCCACAGAAGCGTGGGTGGGTGTCCTGTCCCCTGCTGACTGCAGTGGGGTCCTGTGGCTGCGACTTCCTGTACACCTGGAAGCTGGTGCCTTCTCTCCATCCCTAGGCTTGAACTTTCATGCTCCTGCCTCAGCCTCCCAGAGTAAAGGGATTCCAGGCGTGCACCACCCCAGCAAGACAGACCTCGTGCAGACTGACTGCACTCTCTTACCTGGCAGGCAGGTCTCCAGGGGTGTGCAGCACTGAGAGCTCAACATTCTCCTTTGAGCCTGGAATCAGAGCAAGGAGAGGGAGGCGCACTTGGGCAGGGCCATCCTGGGTTTGGGCCGTCCTGGGCTCTCTCCAATGCCAGGGGTCAGCCTGGCAAGAAAACCTCTGTCGCTTGGCCAAGATGCCTCTTGCTGGGCACGGGCATTCCGGGTTCTGGCCAAAGCCTCCAGCTTTGGACACCCAGGCCTGGGTGTCCCTGAAGCCAAACCCCAGCCAGCACAGAAATGTGACTTTCCTGAGCAGCTGCAATCCCCGAGCAGATTTCTGGTAAAGCTGCCAGAGCCCAGCATCAGAACCCCTCGCTTGCTTGGGCCTCTCTGCAAGAGCTGGAAGATGCTGGGATCTATTGAGTGTTCTGGGTGGGAGGAGAAGCCAGGCTGGAATCAGCAGAGAATGCTAGTACACTGCCTGAATGGGTCCCCGAGGAAGCTACCTGAATATCCAGGGCTTTTATACTTTGTGGTGACTTCTCTTATCATTTTAAATAAGCATTCATTTCTGTGCGAAGTTTATAGGGTATTTATGTGTGTGGGTTTTTTTCTAAAAGAGAATCCCTCAAATTGAGCTTCAGATCTCACAAAACCCGGCCCACTTGCCCTTCTAAGACAGACAGCCCCCGTCCTGGGGGTGCCACCCTGGAGGGGGGTTGGCACCGAGGCTTGCACAGAGCCAGGGGTTCTCAGTAGATGAGTCTTGGAGGGCACACAGGACAATACTGCACTTGAACCCCTCCTGCACCAACCCTCATGGCCCCTCCGGGCCTCCGAAAAGGAACCTCTACTGTTGAGACCATCCCTTGGTTGGGATAATCACATCTTCCCTTCGTTTCATTGAGGAGAGAGCTTTCATCTTTTAATAACACATGTCTTCATGTTCCCTTCCAGGGACATTTTTAAACTTAAAAAAAAAACTTTGAAAATGGCTTTAAAAGTTGAATCACGAATTTTTGTGCCTCCTCCTCAAAATCAAAATACTGTATTTTTGCAACTGATGGAAATATCAAATTTCTTCCCTCAGTCATCCGTCTGTCTGACAGACACATTTTAGGGACAGGCGGTCACAGTGCTGTATTTTTGCCTTTGTGTATTTTAATGATCTGTGTGCACTCGTGCGGATTGGGAATGGTGGGCAACATCCCGGCGTATCTCCTGAGTCTGGCTCTTCGCTGTCTCCTTACCTGGAGAGGGTGCCCTCCTCCTGTGTTTTCTGTCTATTGGTTCCTTTCCCACCCACCCCCATGCCAGCCGGGTTCCATATGGGACTGCTTCCGGTGCCAGATCCTCCATGCAGGATAAAGTCTGTCACATATGGACTTGTTGAGGAAAGCCTGTACCCAGGGCCCTGTCACCAAGTGAGCTGGTGTCTGGGCTCTGGACGCTGCAAGCTTCACCTCCAGATGCCAACCTCCATCTCCCCCTGAGGATCTATTCCTGCTCCCTGGCTCTAGCCTCAAGCGGAGCCCCTGACCCTTTGCGTTCTGCAGTACACAGTGCTTTGGCCTCTCTCCGCAAAAGCCACCATCTCTGTGAGCAGCAATCGCAGAAACTAATGCATGATTCATAGGATGCTCTTGGCCTGGGATTGGGCGCCAAGGGAGAAGCTCATGAGGCCCACAGAAGCACTTTGGTTTGGGGAACATTCTTTCATTGATGCACATCTGTGCTGCCTGGAAGTGCATTAAAGAGAATCAGATGTGCTGCTACTTCTAAAATAGCTTTTGAATGTGT